GTCAATGTAGTAGTAGCTGCGGGACATAAGGGCGCTGTATTTCCGGATAAGGTACCGGCATCAGCACCCAGGGTCACTTCCATCACTTTTGTTGCGGTTACTGTTCCGCAAGAATTGGTCGCCGCATAACGGATCGTCACGGTCCCGATAGACACACCTGTTACCAGGCCCGTTGCAGATACGGTTGCAAAAGCGGTATTGCTGCTGCTCCAGGTACCACCCGTAGCTGTATTGCTTAATTGTTCGGTAGTGCCGGAACAAACAGTACCGGAACCGGTTATCGTACCCGCATTAGCCAGCGGGGTAATGGTCATTGTAATGGCATTGCTTGTTGCAGCGGCAGCACCACCTACGGTATAGCTTACCACACAGGTAACAACATTGGCGTTGGTCAGTGTAGATGAAGTATAGGTATTCTGGTCGGTACCTACATTAGTACCACCTACCTTCCATTGATAATGCGGCCCGGTAATATTGGTCGTAGCTGCTGTAAAGGTCACGGGCACGCCCGCACATACGGTATTACCCGGTGCAGCGGTAATAGCTACCGTTGGGATAACCACTACCTGTGCATCTGTATTGCCCACCACATAAGATCCGGACAAGGTAGCAGGCGCTACTGTAGCGCTGGTTGTATAAGGAGAGACGATCGTACCTGCACCTGTTATGGCTGCGGCTGCGGAAACCGGTGCCCAGGCAGTACCTGAGGTACGGAAAATGCTCAATGGATTGGTCTGATTAAAAGCCACACCCTGGTCGGCAGTCTGCCAGTTAAAACCAGCGGTAAGACCGGCACCACCACCTACCGGTGTGATGTTCCATTGTTTGGTTACAATTTTTGTAGGATCGCCAATGGCGTGGAGTAAGGTGCTGCTGACACCAACAGATACGGTATCGTCAGCAGTCGTTGCGTTTACCACAAGCGGATTGTACGCTGTTTCGCTGGTACCAACCGGGAATGTTACCGGTGTACCAACAGTCACGGTGCGTTTCAGTGCACCAGTACCACTGGTAATAAAGTATTCGGTGCCCAGGTTAAACGTGTTTGCACGGGAAGCATCTACTAGCCCAC